TACAGTAGGATGAGGGGTAGAGTTCTGCTGAGGTGAAGTTGATTGTGCAACTTCAGGCTACAAGTGGGTTGCCTGCCTCCATCCTTTGTGTATCTTTCATAGTGCAGTCAGTGCCTGTGCACCAGCCCAGTGCTGCACTGCTGCCTTGTTAATAGGTTGGAGGCAAAACTGCTCCCAGGTTTTGGCAGGATGGGGGTGGCTGCATACCAGTTGCACATCTGTCTGTCCTCATACAGCTATAGCCTTAAACAGAAAATAAAATAGTAAAATGAAATAATGCCTTACTTGATATTCTACTGCTGCTGTTTGATTACTAGTTGCACTTGTGCTAAAATAAACCCTCAGTTTGAGGGTTCTATGGGGCAGAACTTGGAATGAATCTTGCAATAATTAAAAGAATAAAACATTTTTACTTTTTACTTACCATCGTATTATGTAACAAAAGCATAGATCTTAGTAACACAACAGAAAAGTGATATAATTAACTTTCCCCTCTTCACAGCTTGCCACCCCCAAACCCATCTATTTTCTCTTGTTGGTGGCCCAAGAAATCTCCAGCTGAATCCTCCATGCAAGTGTAGTACAAATTAATATCCAGTCAAAAATAGAAGATTGAAGTCAAAATGAGGAGGAAGTTCTTGTATTTTATTGCAATGAAATACGGAAAACAGTTAGGCCAAAAGACCCATCAAAACTGACTGCTTTCTGAGCCCAACCAGGAAATACATGAAGTTAAATACTTAAAATGACATCATCATATCATCATCATGGGAATAATATTCAAAGGGCATAATTGGTTACAGAAACTTAAACAACATTTACATCAAAATTCCCTTATTGGTCAAATGGAAGAAAGGTGTGCCTATGCAATAGCGTCACATATTTACTTGACATAACCTAAGTCATATCGGCCAAGGCTTGTTCTCACCCAAACAAAAGTGTTGTTCTCTGATACCTAGGAAAAGATCCATTGTGACCCAGACACTATGCAGTTATAACCTAAGCAATTAGAACCATGAACATTATATCTACTTTTGTGCTAAAAGAATGTCTCCTGTGTCTTGTCTGTTAACAGCAACTAGGAAAAATCCCCCTTGACCCACAAAGAAGAGAGGCCTTCTATATACTAGGCCTTCATTATATTCCAATAAAACATTAGATCTATAATAAGCCTATAGTATCCAAAGAAATATGAATAATCAAAGAAAGAGTAAAAATCCATATAGTCCCATCTCTACTACACAAGGGTCCCAAATGAACCCCCCATTAGATAACACAGCCCTTAAACAAGATGTTAAGAGCCTATGATTAAGGTTCAAACTCCCCAGCAGGGCATTCTTGCTTCCCCCCTCTACTTTCCACAAATACTGCATCCTTCTGCATCTAGAGGCACCACTCCTTCATGGTTCATTCTGTTACTAGCTAGAGGTTACACTAAGACTCACAAAATCTCATACCTTAGGCCAGGGGTGGACAAACTTGCTTAATGTAAGAGCCACATAGAATTTTATGTAAGCTGCCCTGAGCCGGCTTTGGCTGGGAGGGCGGGGTAGAAATTTGAGGAATGAATGGACATCTGATGTTTGAGAGCCACAAGACATGAACAAATATTACACATATGTTTTATTGGAAAATATACAAATTTGCTTTTTATTAACATTAAATGAGACTGCTAAAAATAAAAACAAAAGGGGTAAAATGATATTGATAATGATACTTGTCTAATGATATTTATTTATTTGATAATGATATTTATTTGTCTGAAAGAGAAAGAGGTGGAAAGAAAGGAGAGAAAGAAACAGAAACAAAGAAAGCAAATGGATGGAGGGAGGGAGAAAGAGAGAAAGACAAAGAAAGCAAATAGATCAGGGAGGGGAAGGAAGAGAGAGAGAAAGGAAGGGAGAGAGAGAAAGAAAGGTGGAAAAGGGGGAAAGAAAGCAAATAGATGGAGGAGGAAGGAAGGGGGAGGGAGAGAGAGATGGAAAGAAAGCAAAGATGGGCGGAGGGGGGAAGGGAGAGGTAAAAAGAAAGCAACTTTGACTTTAAATGTGTTCTCCACCCCACTCCAGCAGGCTTGGCTTGGAGAAGGGACTTAAAGAGACAAATGCCTTCTCCAAGCCGGTGGGCAGGGCTGTGCGGCGGGGGCTTGGAGACCGCCTTTTCTCAAGGAAATTGTTTGATTTTGTCGGTATTTGTGATACTATTAATTGATTTGCTATCTTATCCGCTACTGCCATGTCCCAGCACTTAGTAGCCCACTGGTTCACAGTAGGTGTTTTGACTTGGTTCCAATTTTGAGCTATTAAAGATTTTGCTGCTGAAAGTAGTAATGATGTTAATTCTGATGTTTGTTTGGTTAGTGATAGAGACGGCCAGTGGTTAAGAAGTACTGACTCTGGTGTATTTGGGATGGTACGGCTAATCATCTTAGAGATTTCAGTAAGAATGTCATTCCAAAACTTAAATATTTTAGGACACACCCACCAGCAGTGTAAAAACATTCCTTTTTGTCCACAACCCTTCCAGCATTTTGGGTTTGCTTTACATTTACAAAGAAATAAATGATTAGGTGTTAAGTACCACCGAGCATAGATTTTAAAAGATTGTATTTTTCTACAAGATTATTAGACTTAAAAGGAGCTCCAAATAGCATTCCATTGCTGTTCATTGAGTGGCACCACACATTCTTTCCCCCAAGTCATTTGAACAGAGAATTTTTGTTTCCATAATTTGTCATTAGAGACCGCCTTTAACTTTAAATGTGTTCTCCAAGACTCCTGCTGTTGTGCTGGCTTGGCTTGGAAAAGGGATTTAAAGAGACAAATGCCTTCTCCAAGCTGGCCAGGAGGGGGGCTTTGAGAACGCATTTAAAGTTAAAGTTGCTTTCTTTCTCTGCTTCCCCCCCCACACACACATCAAGCCTACCCAGGGAGGGGAACACTGTCTGGGGTAGGGAAGACAGATCTGGGGAGGCATACCTCCCCTTCACTTCCCCAGCGACCCCGCTGGGACGATATGTGTGAAAGACTTGCATTTTGGCCACCCCTGCCTTAGGCTTTCATGTGGCATACTTGCCAACAGGCCATGCCTTGAAGATTGTGCATTTTGGAGAAGCTTTAAGGAAGAGCATTCTTGTTTGGTGATGGGTTATGGTTTGTGTAAGAACTGTGAACAGAATGATGTTGGAAAAGGGATTTTTGCTGTCTCCCATTTCACGGCATCGCCCCCTGACCAACTTGCTCTTGAGGGCTGGGGGGGACTCTTAGGGATGGTTGTGGTGAGATGCAGCACTGGGGTCTGCAGCCAGAAAGAAGAATTGGTAGAAAGTGCCCCCCCTTCTGCAGCTTGCTTCGTTTGCAGTTATGTAGTAGCCAACCCTGTGTTCCAGACTTGTATGCCTTACTTTATATTTTCCCATCACATTTTAACATGATGAAAGCTTCAGAAAGACTCTTGGAACTCTGTGCAAAGTCATGAATTTCTTTGCTGCAAATAACTTATTTTCATATTACTTAGCCTTTTAGAACTGTATTTTTAGTCCTATCTTTCCTAGCAGATTATTGAGTGAAACATCCCCCCCCCCATATTCTGTTATCGGCAGATTGGCTGTCTCTTGGATTTAAACCAGAGCTCTCCCTGTTAGAGAAAATATTTCAGTGACTCAGCAACAAGGCTATCAAATAGTGGTTCGAAATGTGCAAAATCAATCGTTTACTCCTCTCACTAGAAAGAGGTCTGTAGTATCAGCGGGAGTGTGCTTATGGCAGTGGCCCTCAAATAATTACTCAGTAGTAGAACTAGGGTGGGTGACCAGCTGTTTGTCCAGGGACAGCCTAAACAGGGTCATAAAACATTCTGTTTTCATTTTGAAATTATTAGATTGACAGGTGAAAAATCTAGCAGTCAGTTTACTCAAAGGTTTAGTAGAATGGCAGAAAATTCCTCACTCATTCTCAAGCAATCCTAGGTGTTTGGGTATTTATCTCTCCAATTTGGTTAAAGATTTCTGAGGTACCAGCACAGAACTGGTACTTACTGTGCTGCTACTGTTTTCAAAATCTCTGCATGCCAGTAATTGAGACTTTAGTTACAAACTTTGTTTATATAGTACTGAACTAGAAGTCATATTGGGATATTTCTGAATGTATCTTCCCAGCATCTTTTTAAAGAAGAAAAAGCAGCCAAGTGGAACCCCAGTTCACATTGGGGCTGTGGTGTGTGCGCAGGGAGGGGGGAGTGATAAACTTTCTGAACACCATCTGTTCTATTATAGTGCAGGAAGAGGGAAAAGGACAGGTAAAAGGAATCTGCTGTTTTTCCCGCTTTCTCTTCTGAGTTAACAACAAGCTTGGAAGGAGCTGATTTTGATTAGCAAAACTGAATACTGGGAAAGGGTTTAAATTCCTGAATTGTGTCCCCCCACTTTAATTTGGGCCTCAGGTGGTTGCTGTTCTGCTTTTAAGAACTGCTGGGGAGGAGCCATTCACATCTCTCTGAAAGCATCAACTAGTTTGGCCTGCTGATGAGTTAAATGCTTCATCTTTTAAATGTCTGTATGGAAAAGGCAGTCTAAATATTTTATTTCGGGCAAGAAAATAGCTGTTTCTTTGGATTGGTTGAACTCTTTTTACAATGCTAATTTTAACCACATGGTCCTCTTGTTCTAACAAAACCTTGTCTGACCCACCTAAGCCTTGATTTTTCTATTTTTACATGGTCTGTCTCTTAACCCATCCTTCTACTCTGTAAATTCATGAGTATCATGTCTGTTATTTATAATAAAGATATATATATTTTTGCTTTCTGGCAGAACTGTGCATTGCTTCTGTTTTCTTTCTTGCTCTGAGAACACTTTTGGTTGCAATCTCAATAGTATATAATAGGGGGAGGCATGGCACTGGGGTATCAGAGCAGCAGGAACTTGGTGTTTCCTGTAGTATGGAAAGCTTGACAACACACTTTGGTTCAAGAGACTAAAATTGTCTCTCTTCCCAATACAGATAAGCAGCACTAAGGAACCTGATCTTTTATTCCAAGATGTCAAGTCTTATGTCTCAGAGTTTGGTGACATATGTGGAAGAAGAAAATGTTCCTGCATTGAAGGCATTTCTTGAGAAGTGCAAAGATGTAGATGAGAGGAATGAGGTAAGATAAATTCCCAAGATTACTTAGAAAAATGTTGAATGCCTTTAACAAATAGGCATCTCTTGAAGATCTGGGCTGTCTTTGGGGCATGCTATGTACTTTTGGAAAATGAAATAAATGATGGGCCATCCAGTTAACCTTGATGTTCTTGAAGTACATTAAAGAAAATTGATATTAAAGTGGTAAGAGCCTAAGTTTTAGAGATATCAGTTGTCTTTTGGTGTTTTCTGGTTGATGCAATGTTGGCTTTTTTTAAAAGTTTGTTTATTTTAGATTTATAGTCCGTCTTCCTGTTTAAAGTCATGTAATGGCATTTCTTTACAGCAATGAATTAAGATGATGAGCTGTCCTACATATATATGCAGGTTTCTGAAATAGCACAGAAACATGTGCCAAATGTAGGTGGTGGCTTAAAAAAACCTGGGGTAGATAAGACGTATTGAGCTTTGATACAGTTCTTTGTCAGATGCTAACTTGTGTGACTTAGACCATCTTTTGACCAAGTGCCCCATGTACGCAGTCCAGTGCTTTTTGGAGGAGCAAGGGTTCAATGAGTTAAACTGTGAATACTTTCTACATCTTTACGTGCTGTATGTGCCATGAAGGTTGTAATTCTAGTCACTTTTGTGAATAAATCCAGTTAGTCTCACTAGGAATGATTTCTGAGGAACTGTGTAAAGGTCAAGAAGCTTGGTCTCCTATTTATCTATTAAGAGCAGGGGTCTTGTTGTAGAAAAAGAGCTGCCGGAGCTCATTAGCATAACTCATTAGCATAACTTATTTGCATATGCCACACCCCCTGACATCACCGGAAGTGACAGAAGGCCACACACCCTGACATCACCGGAAGTGTGTCAGAAGGCCTGGCTACTTACCCTCCTGCTTCATCCTCATTCCCAAACGGAATGAGGATCGAAGCAGGGGGCGGGGTAAAGAAGGGGGCGGGGCTTCACCACGTGACCGCCCCGCCCCCTAGAGGTTCTCTTCCGGAGCTCCGTACCTGAGAGCTCCCCCCCGACTAGAGCCCTGATTAAGAGTAAAATGCTTCAGTAAACTGCATCTCTGCTTCTTTCACCTCATCTGTCCCATTAACTGTAATGGAATAATTCTCTTATTTGTTTTTGTAATTGAGGAAGTGAATATTTGTTTTGGATTATGACCCATTTCCACTAAGTAATATAAAGGTCATGTGGAATTTACATTAGTTATATTTAATTTGAGAAATTATACATGTATTAAATCAAGTGATGAGTTGCATATATGAAATGGCCATCAAGGATCAACATGTGCAAATGGAGCGAATATGTTTTCATGATGTTGCATAGGTCTTTTGCAGCTCATTTCAGGGTTGAGCTATTCAGAATATGTCATTCTATGGTAATTTTTACAGATTTCTTTTCTGTTACTGAGCTGCAATTTCAAAGATATACAGCGAGAAATGTATTTTTTTTTAAATGGGCACCTGCAGGATTCCCCCCTCCCCTGGGAATAAAAAGTCTTGAAATGTAGTACTTGCATTTCATTTAAAAAATAATGCTGTGTTTAGGAGACTTGCTATGGTTGCCTCTTGTTTTTTTTCCATGTACCATGCTGAAATAAATTATAACATCAAGTTAGGGCTGCCAACCTCCAGATGGGGCATGAAGATCTTCAAGAATTACAACTAATCTCCATATTACAGAGAGAGTTTTCCCAGAGGAAATGGCTCCTTTGGAGAGTGGAATCTATTGCAGTATACCCCAGTGAAATCCCTCTCCAGTCTCCAGTTTGGTGTAGTGGTTAAGAGTAGCAGACTCTAATCTGGAGAACCGAGTTTGATTTCCCACTCCTCCACATGCAGCTGCTGGGTGACCTTGGATCAGTCACAAGTTCCCTCAGAGCTGTTCTCTCAAGAGCAGTTCTCTCAGAACTCTCTCAGTCCCACTTACCTCACAGGCTGTCTGTTGTGGGGAGAGGAAGGGAAGGAGATTGTAAGCCGTTCTGAGAACTTAGAGTGAAGGGCAGAGTAGAAATCCAATCTCTTCTTCCTCTGTAAATTTTTCGGCATTATACTCCATCAGTCCAGATGCTCTTAGTTATCTGTCAGTTTTACAAACACTTACAATTTTTTGTGTATTTTCAGAATGGACAGACTCCATTGATGCTCGCAGCTGAGCAAGGCAATTTAGAAATTGTCCAAGAATTGATAAAGAAAGGTGCCAACTGCAACTTGGAAGATTCAGTAAGTATGGAGGTTGAACCAGTCCTCTTTTGCTGTGTGTTTCCCGCTCTCATTCTGTTGTCCGTACTACTTTGCACACTGGATCATACTTTACCTGTGTCTCTCCCTGCCACCTGCAATCAGTCATTATTAATAAAGTAGTGCAGGATTTGTGAATTGCTTCTTCAGAGATTTCATTCCTTTATGAGTGTTGTTTCATTGCAGCTGGCACATTCTCTTGGTATATGACCTGCTTTCAGTTACCAACTGAATGCTAATTTCATTTTCTCCTTTAGGATAACTGGACAGCTCTTATCTCAGCAGCTAAAGAGGGGCACACTGCCGTTGTGTCAGAGCTACTTAACTGCAATGTGAACTTGGAACACCGGGACATGGTATGATATCTTTGACTTTCACAGGATTTGTGTATTTTAAGCTCCCCCCCCCCCCCCCAAGTAACACATGAGATCTAATTGTGTTGCTGCTTTTTTCCTAATCAGGAGTGATGTTATATTTTTAAGATGAACATTGTATCTGGTACCTTTTCTCCAAAGTTGTGAAAGTTCTGTTGTTTGAAGGATTCCTGAAAGCTGAGGATGCTTCAGAAGCTTTGTGATTACTTTTCATTTAGGAATGATTTCAGTAGTCAGGAAGTGGGAAGTTTTAGCACACCTTTCCCTGCCTTGTCTGGTGTTCATTGTTTACAAAACCATTCATGAGCTTTATGGACCTGATGATCTAGAAGCTGCATCATGTTACCCTTGAATTTTTGAATTACAGATTTTATGGATATTTATTAAATCGATGGTAATAGATACTGATAAAATGGTAAGCTAGGATAACTTCTGTGACTTCCAGGTGGTCAGCCGTGTTGATCTGAAGCAGTAGAACTCTAAATTTGTTCTTCTATGACTTCCACGGTTTTAGCTAAAATACACATTATGTGGGAAATATGTGAAGAGGATCTCTCGGTTTCTTTAAAATCCTTACTAGCAATTAGAGGGAGCTTGGATTGGGACCCTAGTGCAGGAAAAGAGTGGTCTAACCTTTTCTGTCTGTGCTGTTTCCCTGATGGAAATTGTGCGTCCACCAGAGTGGCTGTTTTCTTGACTGGAGACAACTTATTAATACCTTATGGGTATGTTTGTGCTCTCCTCTCCCTCTGCTGGGGAGGGGCAGTTTGCATCAAGGAAAATGATTTGTGGGAGTAGGTTAGATGCATCAGGGTCTGGATCTGAATTGCGCCTCCCTGTTTTCTATTAGCCTTAAAAATGGAATTCAACACAAGTTTTTTTTTTGTGGGGTTGCATTTGTGTGTGTCTGTGTGCGTGCCCCCATGCTTGGAAGTCATGGTGACCTCTCGCGACACCTACTGGGGCAAAGAGGACATTCAGAGAAGTGGTTTGATAGCCTGCCTCTGGCCTTGAAGATTGTATTCTCTGGAGGTCTCCCATCCAAATACTTGCCAGGGTTGGCCTTGCTTAGTTTCCGAGATCTGACGAGATCGGGCTTGCCTGGGCTATCCAGGTCAGGGCAGAATTCAACACAATTTTAATTCTTGTTTTTAAAATTGTATTATGATTCCCTGTGTCTCATAGGGTGGCTGGACAGCTCTCATGTGGGCATGCTACAAAGGCTGTACAGAAGTAGCTGAGCTGCTTCTTGAAAAAGGAGCTAACCCAAACATCACTGGTCTGGTAAGGTTATTGCATGTTACACTTGGGTTGAGATGAGAGGAACTCTGAAGTTAGAGTAGTTAGGTCTACTAGAAATAAGTCCAATGTTATTGAATGGGGCTTTCTCCTATGACAGTGAGTTTAGGATTGTAGCTGTAGACTACTATATAAGTCTGAATCATGACAGTTATTTAAGAACATATTTAAATGGTACATGCATTAGAGGAATTCCGAATTTTCATTGTCAGGATCTGTCATAGAAAGCTAGCTGTCTGCAATCTCATACTTGCATGTCATTTCTAGTGCTTTCCTTATAAGTGAACTGGCTTGTCCACATTAGAAGATTTTATATTAGAAAACTGACTGACCTTTCTGCCTCGTCTAGTTGGTAAATGTTTCAAAAAAAGGAAAAAGGGGTATACTTTTGTTTTTTTAACCTTTTAAACGTCTTTTCTTTTTCAAGCAATACAGTGTCTATCCCATCATTTGGGCAGCAGGGCGGGGCCATTCTCGCATAGTACAACTCCTGCTTCAACATGGAGCTAAGGTCAACTGCTCTGATAAGGTAGGCTAAACTGCTGCTTTCTTTAAATTACAGACTGAACTCTGGTACCTTCAGAAGTTAAATTTATTCAGAATATTATGAAGTTTAGGGCCCTGAGTTGTAATTATTAACAGGAGCTGGGACTGTCTGCAGCAGAGAAGTTGTAGCATTAGAATGTAACACTCCGGTTTATGGTCTTTAAAGAAGAAGAAGAAGAGGAGGAGATTGGATTTATACCCCGCCCTTCACTACCCAAAGGTGTCTCAGAGCGGCTTACAAACTCCTTTCCCTTCCCCTCCCCACAGCAGACACCCTGTGAGGTAGGTGGGGCTGAGAGAGCTCTTGACAGAAACTGCTCTTTTTCACGAACAGCTGTGCCAGAGTTATGGCTTTGCCCAAGGTCATCCAGCCAGGTGCAAGTGGAGGAGTGGGGAATCAAACCTGGTTCTCCCAGAGTAGAGTAGAGTCCGTGCACTTAACCACTACACCAAACATACTTTGCATTCAAGTTATTTAAAAAACGTTTGCATAAAGCCATCTTAGAGTCCTTTAGGCAGTATAGCTGTTTTGTACATTTAGTGCTTCAGCAGCCTATGCAGCTAAAGCTGGTTTCTGTGCTCCTAACACTTCATTTACATTTATTTATTCAGAACTTTTTTGTGTTGTCTTTTCATCCAGATCAGGGTCCCAAAGGCTGCTCAGTTCAGGATCTCAAAGTCAAAACATTAAAAAATGTAAAGTACATCTATTATAAAACAATAACATCAGTTCAACAAAATACAAACGTATACACAGGAAGGAGGGTCATGGAGGGAATGCCAGAAAATGTTGCTGGTTCAGCCTGAGGAGTACTGGTGCGGCAAAAGGCAAGCCCTTTTGACAAGCACCCGCTCTTCAGACCAGTCTGCAGGCAGAACCAATGACACCATGCAAGTTGGGGGTGGGGTGGATCAGGGCTCTTCCTGGGAGACAGTTTTTCCTGTGGAGAGCCGGCATGATGATTAAGATCATTCTCATGCTATTGGAGCACTATCAAGTTTTCTGACCTCTGTGTATGTCATGCCATCTGTGGCATTCCACCTTCTGCTTTATCTGTCCACATGTGATCACTGAATAGGCGTTTTCTTTCTCCAGTATGGTACTACACCATTGATCTGGGCAGCAAGAAAAGGTCATCTGGAATGTGTGAAATATTTGCTGCATATGGGAGCAGATGTTGATCAAGAAGGAGCTGTGAGTACCCAGTCTCTGTATGTTTGTAATATAAACATCATGAAATGGTAAATATAAATCTAGGTCATATAGTGGGAGAGTGGTTCAAATAAAACTTACCAATTGTTGGAAAGATGTTGAAATTGAATAATGCAGAGAAATGTGTGTAGATGTAGTTGTTATTTGCCACAGTGAGATAATTGACTGGTGGATGGTGTTCTGGAATTCGAGATCTAGCCAAGGTCTTGGGAACTGCAGAGGTATCTTTGCAGGATTCTTGCTGTTCCAAGCAGCGCTGTCTTCTGCTGTTCAATGCCCAGAATGTCCAGGTGTTTCTTGAGACTTCTAGGCACTGCTCCAAGGGCTCCAATGACAACTGGCACGATGGTCACCTTCTTCTCCCAGAGGCACTGTCACTCTGTTCATAGGTCTTCATATTTGTAATCTTCTCCTGTTCTTTTTTTCTATTCTGCTGTCTCTTGGGATTGCAGTGTTGATGATGCAAACCCTATTTCTCATTTTGTCTACAGTTGTGATAAGAGGGATGTTATGCTCCAGGTGTTTGTAATCGGAAGTCCCAAGGAATCTTTGTTTCATCATTCTCCACGATCTTGTCTGGTTTGTGCTCCCATAAATTTCTGGCTGATGTTAAACTATACTCCTTGCAAAGATTCCACTGCAACATAGCTGCAACTCTATTGTGAGATTCTTTGTAGTTACTTTCAGCAATTTTACTGCAGGCATTGATCATGTGGTGGACTGTTTCATCCTTTGTCTTGCAAAGTTGACATTTACTGTCATCACTGGTCTTCTGAATCTTAGTTTGCATACTTTTTGTTTCGAGTGTCTGCTTTTGTGCAGCTAGAATGAGTCCTTCTATTTCCTTCTTCAAGTGCCCATTTTGAAGCCACTCCAGGTGTTTTCGTTATCAACTTTTTTCTCTGTCTTTCAAGTATTGCCCATGCAAGTGCTTTTCCTTCCAGTTGTCAAAGTGAGTTTTGATTGCAATCTTTTTGTATTATTATTACTAGATTCTGGTACTCTAAATATGATGGAATATATATTACTACTGAGTAATAAATGGAACACACAATGAACCGATAGAATCACTCTCAAAGGACTGTTCTCACATAAGAGCCATCTACAACATTTCTACTGTGAAATTGGACTAGTTGTCCATACTGTGTTCAAAGTAGTCACTACTCTTGGGAATGATGGATTGTGATTCTCAAAATCATCTCCTTTCACATTCTTCTGCTTTTTTTTCTCTTGCAAATTGAATATTTTGGCCTGGGTCTGTTGTGAACTGTGGGTGTTTGGGTGTTTGCATCCTGAACTCCAAGCAGCTTCTTCCTGCAGACAGTCCTTGATGCCATTTTCTGGACAGGCCCAGAGATATATGAGTGATCCTTCTCCCATGGAGAAAATGGTTTCCCAAGTCATCACCAACATCTCCTTGGATAATTCTTCTGTTTACAAAGAAAGCAACTCATTTGTGCTCATTTTGTTTTGCCAAAATTGAATCCTTTCTCTTTTGAGCAACTTAGATATTAAAACTACAGTTGGGATGCAAAGTGGCACGTGTAGATACCTAAGGTGCGCACAAGAACAACTGTGGCAGCTGCCATGTTCCTGTGAAATGCCACCAGCATCGTGTAAGATTTTAAAATCTCCCCTACACTTTGGGGAACTATTCGTTGAGAGAGACCATGTTTTGAGGCCAGAATTTAATGTTCAAAATTTTTATCTTTTTAAAATTGTAATTGTAAACCTCTACTTCCACTTGTGGTCCTTTTCCCTTCCAGCCTTTTGTCAGTGTAAATCTGTGCAATCTGTGACCGTTTTGAGCAAAGAAATAGATGAAAAATATGGTACAGTTAAGGAAGTGCTAATGTTTGGAAGTGAGATCATCTGCTCCCCAGTGGAGTCTATGAAGAAGTTGTTAAGAGAACTGCTGGAGTTGTGGCAGTTAGCGTTCTAGGCCCAAGTTGGATATATGTAATTAAAACTTGTTCAGTTTCCTTCACAAGTTGCTGAAGTCGGTTCTATGTGGAATCTGGAGGATCTTCCTGAGTTCCATTATAACAAGTGGCAATGGAAAAAAGGTTAAGCCAGCACCCTCTTCTCCTCTTCCTCTTTCTCTGCTGAAATCTGGAGCTTCCTGGGGATGCTTCGACCTAACAAAAATGTCTGATGAAAGAGCTGAGCAATCGAATGAGTTTGTCCTTGTTTCTGATGTGATTTCCAAGTTCAGCTGCAGTAGAGGAACAAATAAAGTGAGCAAACACACACCACCATCTCCGAACACTTCGTCCTGGCTCTCTTGGTCTCTTTTACCCGAGTGTATTTCTGCCTTGGTCACACTTGAGAGAGAGGGGAGCTGCATGAACTCTCACACCCTTTCCAACAACAAGGATTTTCTCCTAGCTGTCTTCTTAGAATGCATGATTTGTTTTGGATTAGAATAATATCCTTAAGTATGGAAAATAATAACAAAAGTCCAAAAGGGGCTGTCTTTGACAAAAGCACCCTGTGCATATTAGGCTAATCTCTTATTTGTGCATTTGCTTTTTTCCCCTCCCCAGAATTCCATGACTGCACTTATTGTAGCAGTAAAAGGTGGTTTTACTGACTCAGTCAAAGAAATTCTGAAGCGGAATCCAAACGTAAACTTAACAGATAAAGACGGGAACACAGCCTTGATGATCGCCTCAAAGGAGGGCCATACTGAAATTGTGCAGGATCTCCTAGATGCAGGAACCTATGTGAATATTCCTGATAGGGTAAGTGATTCAACAACACACTTGTGTCTTCATACCTGTCACAGATGATTTTAAAAGCTGCTTGAATATATCGGATGTGTGTTTTGGTTCAGACGTGAGTAACCTATGACTATTGTGGCTTAATTGCAGAGTGGAGATACTGTATTGATTGGGGCTGTCAGAGGAGGCCACGTTGAGATTGTGAGGGCCCTGCTTCACAAGTATGCTGACATAGACATTAGAGGTCAGGTAAGTAATTCAGTGTTGATGTTAGGGTGTTGAAAAGAGCCAAGAATATCCTTTTCAGTACAGCCAGTGGAGGCTGTTCGTAGACAGAAAAGGCTGCTGCCTTCTCCATGGGAGATGCAGTCATACTACTGGATTTGCCGTGTGAAAGAACTGTGTGATTTATTAACACAAAAGTTGAGTGTGTCTTTTTAATCACTGTAGAAGTAGAGTTGCTATCTCAAATTAAATTTGAAAGCCATTGCTTTTAATGTGATCTGATAAAACAGCATATACACCTGTTCTGGGCACTACTCACTCTGTCTGGTTCCATTGACCCGTGATGCTAGTCAAGTGAACCAGAAAACAGGTGCTTGCCATTCTTGGGATGCTGATGCTGCTTTTGCTCACCTGTGGACGCAGAAACTTCCTGTGAAATGAAATGTGCTGAAGCCAACTTCTGTCAGTAATGGTGGGAGATGGATTAGGAAATATAATATACCAGGGAGTTGGCTATAATCAAAACATTTAATTCAGTTTTGTACTGAAGAGAGAACCCAAATGTATATCTGGCATTCCAAGGAATGGCATTTGGGATGTAGAAGAAGAAGAAGAAGAAGAAGAAGAAGAAGAGATTGTATTGGATTTATACCCCGCCCTTCACTACCCGAAGGTGTCTCAGAGCAGCTAACAAACTCCTTTCCCCTCCCCTCCCCACAACAGACACCCTGTGAGGTGGGTGGGGCTGAGAGAGCTCTTCACAGAGACTGTTCTTTTTCAAGAACAGCCCTTATCAGAACTATGGCTTGCCCAAGGTCATCCAGCCAGGTGCAAGTGGAGGAGTGGGGAATCAAACCCGGTTCTCCCAGATTAGAGTCCGCGCACTTAACCACTACACCAAACTGTGTAATGTCGTATACACAGCCTCCCCCATCCTTTTCCAAGTATTACAGAGCCCTTGGCTACTGCTGTGATACATATATCCCAATGCATACACACTACACAGAGGTTTTTAACAGAGTCCTCTTGCCATGTAATTCGACAGTCAGTGCATCAAATTCCACACACATTTTTTAAAATTCTCCTTTATCCCAAGGTGTGTTCTAAGCATGACTGTGCATCTAGACTTGGCAGTACTACACTATTTAGACAGTGCTCTTCATCCCATTTAGCTGTAGAAGGATTATTATTACTGTCATGCATAATAGCTTTTTAGTAAAGTAGTTTCAGAAGGCCTGGTGCTTGTGCGAAAATAGTAAGTCTTTTAAGCGCTCATCCTAATTTTGTCTTTAAAAAGTACTCACTGAAGATGTGGTATGTTTGTTTCATAGGATAACAAAACTGCCCTGTATTGGGCTGTTGAGAAAGGAAATGCTACGATGGTAAGAGATATCTTACAGTGCAATCCGGACACTGAAACTTGCACAAAGGTAAATGCATGGTCAATGTTTTTTATCTTGGAAGCAGCCTGGTGTGATCTTGAAAGCATCTTTTTCTCTCTCATCTCTGCAGTAAATTTTACACTGCATTTACAAACTGGTCATCACTGAAGGGGAGAATGGTGTATTCTAATGCTACTCTAGCTAACTAGAGTATTTTTCTTCTGTACTAGGTATTTCCTTGTCAGGGCTATGGTTGCAGAATTTCCTGGACTCTGAGCTACCAGCTGCTAGCTGGTGTGTTAATGTCTCTTTTGCCTTGTTAGCCGAATTGCTTTATTTACAGCAATTGGCAATTTATAAATGGGTTCTTGCCAATTATACCAAGGTCCTGTTCCCAACAAGAGTTACCAGTAAAGGATTCGAGGCTGTTGTAGTTTAAAATAGATGTCTTTTCCTTGAGAATATATCTCATACAAACAATACTGATGCACTCACACATTCAATCAAGTTCCTTAGAATTACAGTATTAAAATAAGCACGGTTGCATTAGCAGGTAGGGGTGATGGTGGGTGATACTTATCTGTCTTGCAGCTTGGTTGTCCCAATGAAGAATGGATGGGAAGAAATAGAAAACAAAGGGATCCACACTACCAGAACTTAGCCGGACTGTGTGGGGGTCTCTTGACTGCAGATCAAGAGATCAAAGTAGAGGCAAGGGTTGGGGATATTAAGTGGGGCTCAAGGAGGAATAAAAGCAAATAGGGGATGTTGCAAGGGGTTTGCTAGCTAGGAAGGGCCAGGTGAATGGTCCTTATCTTTTATAGTGGGTTCCAGAGTTGGGTGGTAACTGTTCCAACCTCTTGGCCCACCTACCTGTTAGTCCGTCCCAAAAACAATCCTATTGGTTGCATGTAGGGAGGGTGGTTACCTAAGAGGGGTGGCCAATATTGAAACCTAAAACCTTGCTCTAAGGATGGCATCTGGACAGGTGTGAAGACCTTGGCGTCATGATGCTCCATTGTGGTGTTGATGAAGCTGGCCATTCTCATTGTGAACCAAATGTCCATTTGGCAGGAAATACCAGAGCAGGAACAAAGCAGTTGATGGGTGGTACATGACCACAAAAACAGTTCAGCAATGGGGGCTGTCTCTGCTCAGAGCTGTTGTTTCTCATTGCTCACAATAATGGAGGTGTGTGCTTCTTTCAGCAGGCTAGTAACTGTGTAGCTGAAACCTTATTCACATGTAAGGCTTGTGCAGGCACCTTCTATGTGTAGCATCACAACAGGTGACTTAAAGTGTACAGTTCTTTGAGCCTGTGTGTGTGTGCACAGTCCATTGTGTGTAGCAATAAAATATAGTCCATAAATATCAAGTTCATTCTCTAACAGCCTCCATCCCTTTTTCATGCTTCTTTTTTAAAAAAAAGTTGACCTGAATTGCCCCCAGGTGACAGGAAGAATGTAGGTGATGTGAAGAAAATACACAACTTGTAGCAACTGTGCACGGTACAATCTGGATGAATATATATTAGGCATCTACACTTAGATTTGTAGCCACTTCCTTTGTAGTTTTTACTGCATTTGGTTTAAGTTTTTGTTTGATCTTTGGTCTGATTTGGAAGTGTTTTTATGTAGCTGTTTCCCTCAAGGTGCATACTCAGTTTTGTATAATAAAGTTAAACTTTTCTTTATGTTTCAGTCATGTATTCAAACAGGATTTGTAATTATCATCAATTGTTGTAGTACTCCTAATAAATACAGAAACGGGATAGTAGGTATTCTTGATAAAAGCAACATGAAGGCAGCAGTTTATCTGTGACGCCTCGGAAAGAAAATCACTTTTGATTTCTGTAGTACATTCCAGTTCATGTAGTGCATTTCAGCAGCTTAAAAATATTGGAATAAGGTACGAGGGAGCAGTTCTCAGCAGTTACAAAACTGGCTTAATTTGTATTGGGCGTACTGATGTAGACATAATGCTGTTTTCAAGAAATTTGTGTTTTTTTGCTCTTAGGATGGAGAAACACCTCTTATAAAGGCCACCAAGATGAGAAATATTGAAATAGTAGAACTACTGCTTGACAAAGGAGCTAAAGTTTCTGCTGTAGACAAGGTAAAATCTAGCTGGTGATAGGTATGTTTAAGGTCAATTGAAAACAACTGGCTGTGGGCAGGCAACCTGTTTTTAAGCCTGCTCGGTATGAAGGGAAAATGTGTTTGGTGTAGGCATGTATATAAGTTCAGTCAGCTTGCAAGCTGTCTGTTCATTTTGATTCTAAAGAAAAAATACAAAAGACAGGCCTAGTGTGGGAGGGACGAGATGAACCATTTCAGCTTTCAAGCATGTGCATTGTTTTGTAATAATGTGTGTTGTTTTTTCATCCTGGTACATTGATGTTTGTCCTGTAACAATTGCTACAGAAAGGAGATACTCCACTTCATATTGCTATTCGAGGGAGAAGTCGGAGGCTTGCAGAGCTGCTTTTAAGAAATCCTAAGGATGGCAGGCTGCTTTACAGGCCCAATAAAGCAGGAGAGACACCTTACAACATAGACTGCAGCCACCAGAAAAGCATTTTGACTCAAATATTTGGTGCTAGTGAGTACTGACTGGTTATTCACCTTAATGTGCTTTGGATCTAACCAAATGTCCTATGAAAAATTGTAGCCACTTCCTTTGTTGCATTTGGAAAAGAAGAAAAATATAAATTAGGAGTTCAGTAGTTGTAAAGTAGGGAAAATTCTTTTATGAAGACATGGGAACTTGGCAGCATTTCTGCTGCCCTCTGAACCCCATAAAATGTTGTTCCTGAGTGTTGGCACTACACTTGGAAATGCAGCTCAGGGGGCAGGAATTGGACCAGTGAAACTGATGGAAACTCCATCCCCACTCTTTCATAAAGAGTGCCGGGACTCCCATAAGGATAGGTAAATGGATTTTCCCATCGCTGTATCCCACACTGATAGATCTAAGTGGGTAGCCATGTTGGTCTGAAGCAGTAGAACAAAGTTTGAGTCCAGTAGCACCTTTAATACCAACAAAGTTTTATTCAACAGATGCAGAAACTAAAAGTTTAGATAGAACATCCTCATGTTGTATGCTAATTCACCCTCTGCTTAAATGAATGATCTGTTACCTTCCATTTCAATGTATCTGAGGAAGTGTGCATACACACGAAAGCTCATACCTTGAATAAAACTTTGTTGGTCATAAAGGTGCCACCGGACTCAAGCTTTGTATCCCACACTGTTCCTGATGGTCTTCTGATCCTCATCAGAATTCGCTGTAGTCTGGATCTAACCCAGTGTCACCTAGAAAAGAAAAACATAAATTAGGAGTTTAATAATTGTAAAATAGGAAACACGCATCTTTTACTCAAGAATTTCAGTGGGCATGTGTGCACACCCATATCCATCCTTTCACCCCCCAAAAATCCGGGAAGACCATATGAGAGCTCCATAATAACCTCAGATTTTATTGGTCGGTTGCTTAAGTTTTATTGATCTAATTTGCCTGTATTTTTAAACTGTAATTCTTTCCTCTCTTATAATAGAAGTAATACTGATGCACATCTCCATGTTCTTAAATCTGTAAGAATGTACACACAAAATAATCTATAATAAATCTTCAGTAAACTCTTATCCTGCCTTTAGTGCTGGAGAGTGCTGACTTGATCCTTGTCAATTGAGCTTATAAAGAAGAGTCATTAAAGGCATACCTAGCATGAAAGAAAGCTTGGGGAAAGAAGGTCAAGAAAGGGGGATGTTTTAGGGAGCTATAGCAATACTTCTGTATGTTGGAAAGAGGAAATCAAGGTGTCAATAACAGAAGTGCCTTGGAGGGGACAGGGGTGGGCTGGGTCATGATTTGGGGGCAGCATTAAATGCATCACAAAATACATAGTATTATTTTAAGACATAATGCCTGTGTGTTGTTGCAGGACATTTGTCACCGACTGAATCTGATGGTGACATGCTGGGCTATGATCTCTATAGCAGTGCATTGGCTGATATTCTTAGTGAGCCTACCATGCAGCCACCTATCTGTGTGGGACTGTATGCTCAGTGGGGGAGCGGGAAATCTTTTCTGCTGAAGAAACTTGAAGGTAAAAGTTTAATTGTTTTCAGTGAATATCATGTTGAATTTTAGCGGCTTAGTCTGTAGACTATTTTATAGCTGTATCGTTGCAGACCTAGTTTTCTCCAGTTGCTTATCCTGTATCCAGCTGTCCTGGCAAAGGTCTTTAATCTGGCAATTAATGTGAATATGGATAACACCAGGATAAGTTGTTTAAAAATGTTGACAAGATCAAAAACACTAGTTCTTTTGGCATGCCTATACTGTTATACTATGTCTTAATTTTAAATGGATTAAATTAAGGGGAAACATTAAAAAAAAATCCAGCACAGAGTAGGTGTAGTCGTATGAAAAACTGTCCATGGGAGTTTCTGTTGATTTGATAATTTCCCCCCTTCTTTTTCAGATGAAATGAAAACTTTTGCCGGCCAACAGATTGAGCCTCTCTTCCAGTTCTCCTGGCTCATTGTACTCCTTACACTTCTGTTGTGCGGAGGTCTTGGTTTGTTACTGGCATTCACAGTAGATGCCAAACTTGGCATTGCAGTGGCACTGAGCTTACTGGCACTACTGTATGTATTTTTTAGTAAGTCTGCTATTAACTTTTCAACCATTAAAATATTCTGACAGAAGCAAATTGTCTACAGACAGAAGTGAATTGTGGAAGACAACAGGTTTCAAAGATATGGCGTGATGTAGTAGAATAATTCAAATTTTAAAAAACTAAGCTTTTATGAAGGATGATCTGGAAAGTACAAACCTAAATAAGAACAGACACTGGGTTGGATTCCATCTAAACACTTCCCGGCCCTCTCCCCTTCCCAGTGCAGCATGGAATACCCACCAGCTGTTCCTGGGGGGTGGGGAGATCCCCACGAGCGCACTCTGAAGGAGGGGGTTTGGAAGGCTGCCAACAGGAGGAGGGAACAGGTGAAAATTGCCCTCACCTTGGGTGGATCTTTTTGGCAGGATGTGGCCCATTGACTTTTCATATGCAGCAATACCCAAAGTTGTGTTTATACAGCTTGTTGTGCTTTTAACAGCCGTTGTAACAGCTCCTTTTTAAATCTTCTGTAACTATTATTTAATGCTGAGGATATTCATAAGGCATTTTGTTCCAGCTGTGATATATTTTGGTGGCCAAAGAGAAGGTGAGAATTGGAACTGGGCCTGGGTGTTGAGTACAAGGCTGGCAAGACACATTGGCTACATGGAGCTGCTTCTTAAACTCATGTTTGTCAATCCTCCAGAGCTACCAGAGCAGACAACGAAAGCCTTACCTGTCAGGTGAGCATAAGTTCACTCATCCTATTCTTGTAAATAATGGCAGAGGTTGGGATGGACTGGGATCATTGCAGTTACATACTAGCCAATTTGTCTACAAACCAACTATGCTTTTGTGTGGAACATTTTGCCCCATTGGAAGTGGGAAATCATTTTATTTTGGATGTTTTGTTTCTGTATCTTCAAACTTGAAATTCTGTTTGCTCTTGTGGCAGTACTCTATATTCCTTGTGTTGAATCCAGTGCAAGAGCTCACAGGAGGAGTTGGCACAATAGATCTTTGTCTGCCTTCCCCCTCCCAGGCCAGCCAGTCATTTGTCCCAAAATTCCTCTCTAAGGCCCCGGTCATGCGGGCAGGAAACTGCGGGGGAGAAGCGTGGCTGTTTGCCCTGGGGCAAACTACTGCGCAGTTACGCGATCCTGTGGAGGTACCGTGGAGGTTCCATGGCAAGGGAGAGGTGCCGATCACAGGACAAGCCGGCGCGCAACGAAGAAGCGCGCGCGCGGCAAACTGTTTTGTTTTTGTGTGTACATGACAAATGCGCATGCTCCGTTGGGTGCACGTGCGCATCCACAGAGACTTGGACAAAAAAACCCCACCTTATTTGCAAGGGGACATGGGCGGGCGCCGGATGCCACCGGAAACGCGATCAGACGCCCGCCCTTGCCCCGCAGTTTCTGGAAACTAGTACCTCCGAGGTACTAGTTTTTTGCCACGCAGTTTCGGCTGGAAGCCTCAGTTGAGCCACGGGAGTGCTACGCTTCCCAGATGTGCTGGTGAGATCGCGCCTGGAAACTCCGCCTGTTTTCCGTCTCACTTGTGTGGCTTCTGTTCCGTGTGACCGCAGCCAAAGGATAGCAAACATATTGCAAGCAAAATGCTCCACAGGACAAGGGGCTGCAGCAATGATGGGGAATCCAGTAAAATTGCCTCTTTCTCTCTTCTACTTAGGGCATATGTCAGTGGAGAAGGGGGCTGACTGCTGGCCCCGCCCTCTGCTGGGTGAACCTTTAATTGTGTTAAGGCTCTTAGCCTGGGGGGTCTGGCCTGGGGGCCCCATAGAAAACTGAGTAGCTCTTACATTCTATATTAGTTTTTGCTTCTGCAAACCTTTCACAAGTAGCCTTGAGAGGCAGTTTGGCTGGGAAGTTACCAAGGAAGTGCCAGTTAAACTGAAGTAATTTTGAAATGGACTGCAGCAGCATGGCTGGTGAGGGAGCTGAGGCAGTAATGTGCAAAGTCTGTGGTATGTTTGTATTGTTACCTGAGGGTAACAGCAATTACATTTGCAGCAAGTGTAAGTTGGTAGCCCTACTGGAGGAGAAGATTACAGGGACTTGAGGCACACTTGTCCACCCTCCAGTTTATAAGAGAAGGTGAAGATTTCATGGACAGAAAGCATGAAGCACTCCTGAAAGGGCAATAGGAGGAGGAGGAGGGGGAGGGAAAGGTATCTCGGCAAATTTAGGAGCACCCAACGCAGGAGGGAGGGCACTTGAAAGAATGTAACCCACAGGAGCAGGAAAATCAAGAGGCATTCTGAGCCTCTGTTACTAAGCCATCAGTTCCTGGATCTCCCCACAGGTAGTGATTCTGAACCACTGGGACAAGGGCTCCTCCCACAGCCTCCACGAAGCTTGAAAGAAATTTCTCAGACCCCTGTGGATGAGAGGACTCAAGCTTCTGCTCCCCAGTATAGCAGAAGGCATGTGTTGTTAATTGGGGATTCCCTACTGAGGGAGGTAGAGGCTAAAGTGTGCTGACTAGACTTGTCTCGAGCAGTATACTGTCTGCTGAGTGCACGCATCCAGGATGTCACGGAAGGGGGGGTAGGATTATTATCCCTTCTGGCTCAACCACGTGGGAACAAATGATACTGCCCGGCACAGCCCAGAACATATTAAAAGAGGCTATGTGGCTCTGGGTAAAAAGGCGAAGAAATCGGGAGCACAGGTTGTATTTTCATCAGTTCTTCCTGTTGAAGGCTTAGGATGGGAAAGAAGAATACTTCAGATCAGTGACTGGCTACGTAGATGGTGTCATCAGGAAAGGTTTGGATTTTTGGACCATGGTTTACGCTTTTGAGATGAAGCTGTTCAATCGGGAGATGGTTTGCACCTCACGAGGGGAGGAAAAAATGTGTTTGGAAACAGCCCCACCTACCTCACAGGGTGTCTGTTGTGGGAAGGGGAAGGGAAAGGGATTGTAAACTGCTGTGAGACTCCTTTGGGTAGTGAAGGGTGGGGTATAAATCCAGTCTCTTTTCCTTCTCCCTAACTTCAGCAAGGGTTTTGTGGACAAATGGCAGACTGCTTGGGGAAGGGGGGGGGATGTGCTCCATCCACTTGTTCCATGACCTCTTCTGCTGGATTCATGTCATTCGTACTCCTGTGCATATGTGTCTTGTTTGAGTTTACTTTGGATGTTGACTTGCTGTGATACGTGTATTTTGTTGATCCTAAAATGGTATTTGTCCATCTAAGGCCAACAGTCGTGATAGTCTGACCCACAATCAGTCATAAGACTTCTAAAGAATGCTGTTTATGTATTGCAATCTAAAGCACTACAACATGATACACAACTCAATAGAAAATCCTTGAACCAAGGTACATAATTACATAATCAACGTCATCTCCGGATTACATAACAACGTTTCAAAAAAAATGGATCTTCTTCAGGAGATATTCTGTAGTGTACAAAAATACAATTTTTAAAATCTGTGCTACACCAATAACAAGAGACAAGAGACAATACAATAATCTTAGTGCTTACTTACATAGTGGTGCCAAAGCTCTCAGTTTCATAAATGTTAGACAAGTCTTAAGAATCTGTAACATAGTAATATTACCTTTGTTATGAACACATATAAGATATTTCAAATATCTTATATGTGTTCATAAAATAACATGCAGTCCTAGACGGAGTGACATGCTTTTGTGTCGAGATTTGAAGATTATCTTGTGATAGGTTCTATCATGCCTTTTTGGGAAAAGTGACAACTCATACTTTATGTGATGCAGCCTTTCCAGGACCTCTGTTATTGAAATAATTTATATTGTAATCTTTAAAAAGTTATGAAATTAAGAAATGCATCACTAATTGTTTAGAATGGCAAGAAGTGTCTGTTAGAATAGGGGTAGGAAAAATGGTGGAGGGGATATTGTATTTATAGCAGCACAGCCACTTGAAGCCATGCACCCAAAGGGCAGGAATAAACTTACTAGTACCAGCTAAAATAAAGCTTTTTGTTACACTATGTGTTTGTCTTGCTTTAGGTTTTTATTTACAGATTACAATAGACTGTCCAGTGTAGGTGGAGAAACGTCACTGGCTGAGATGATTGCTACACTCTCAGATGCCTGTGAGAGAGAGTTTGGTTTTTTAGCAACCCGCCTTTTTCGAGTGTTTAAGACTGAAGAAACACAAGGTAATTTTTCATCAAAATGCTGTTTTTTCTTTCCTTTTTTTTTTGCTTTTACTGTTCCACTGTACAAATACATCTTAAACATTTTTACAAATAGAAAACAAGGAAATGCTCAAAATATGTTAATTCAGCTGAAGTTAGAAAGTCAACTCGAAAACCACTTATTTACTTACTTGCAGAGGATGGGAACCAAAGATCTATAAGTTCAGAATGGTGAACAGATTTTTCTGTAAAAGAGTTAACTGAAACAGAGGTTCTTTTATTGACCTGCTAGCTTTCCTTTGGTCCTTTACACTTTGTCTGCATTCTGCTGGGCCTGTAGCAACAAGTATTTAGTAGAGTAGTCCAGATGTCAAAGCGCCAGTACTAAGTTGCTTCACAGAAAGTCACTTCATGGAATGGTAATTAAACAAAAATGATTCCTGGTCTGGGCTCAGTGCCTCAAATGGCACTTGCCTTTTTGTGCAGTGGAATTGTACTGCTGAACCATTGTTTAGCGGTTTGTCCATTACAGTCTCAGTTCCTCTGGTGGACACTCTGCTTCCTAGATTGATAACCTCAGGCACATACTTTCCTACCTATGTAGATAAAATATTTGTTTCTTGCCATTCTCTCAAAAGGCCCAAGGTGGCTCACAGTACAGTGACATCAGTAGCATCCATTAAGAAAATCAACACATTCAAATAAATAAACTCACCAATAAACCACAGTACCTCCAACCAGTGTTACCTCTAAGCTGTATTAATGTGAGCTAGCTCACAGTTTTTTAGCCTCCGGCTCACACATTTTTGTCCTAGCTCAGGAAGGGTGGCTCCAGAGCAAACTAATTTATGCAGTAGCCAAATCGCTTGCTCACAACTTTAATGCCAGTAGCTCACAAAGCAGAATTTTTGCTCGCAAGACTCCACAGCTTAGAGGGACCACTGCCTCCAACAGTTACTGAAAAGTTTCTAGAAAAACCCTATTACATAATGATACTGTCCTTACCTCTGGGAAGCCATTCCTTAGCACTGACACTATAATTGAAGAGGCTTTGGCTGAGGAAGACTACATATTTCTAGTGATGTTGGGGGAGATTGCAAGTAGAAGGCTGTCTGAAGAACACAGAGTGTGCATGTTCATACATGGAGATACAGTCCTTCAGATATGTGGGTATGAGGTGAAGAGCCTTATAGGTAAGAAGAACCAGTGCCTTAAATGAAGTTGGTTAAGAAAACCACCAATAACAAATGAGCAGCCACATGTTTATTAACTAATATTTTCTGTGTTGCCTTTGAGAGCAACTCATGATCAGTGAAACAAGCCAACCTAGAGATCAAAATTGGCTAGACTGTCTCAATCAATAAGAGAAGACACTTAAAAATGTAATAGAGAGAAGGCACTTCTTAGCCATTGTGCAACTTTCTCAGATAATAAAGTTGGGTTGGAGACATTGTTCCCTCTAAGCTGAGTTAGTGTGAGCTAGCTCAGTTTTTTAGCTTCCAGCTCACACATTTTTGTCTTAGAGCAAACTAATTTATGCAGTAGCTCACTCACAACTTTAATGCCACTAGCTCACAAAGTAGAATTTTTGCTCACAAGACTCCATAGCTTAGAGGGAACATGGTTGGAGAGTACATCTGACTATTTACATGTTGTGCAGATGACGGTTTTATCCCATCTTGGGTAAGCAGATCATTCCTTTCCAAAATATTACTCTTACCAATGAGAATAATCTCTGTCCTGAACACAGCCTCCAGTTGTAGAGGTGGTTAGTATAATTGTACTGAATAGACATGCACAGAAGCAAGTTAAGTGGAAGCAAGTCTCATTATATTCAGTGGGACTTACAGTGAAATAAATGTGCATAGGATCGTGGTTTTAAATTCATTGTTGCTTTCTGTGTGGCTCTTAATTAAGAGGTCATTGCATCTTTGTTTCAGGCTGTTTGGGTTTTTCGGCCAAGTGATATAATCAGCAAAGATGTTGAATAGCTCCAGATTTAGCACTGACCACTGTAAAATTGTCTGAATATCTTTTTCCAGTGTGATATCAGTTGATTCTCCCCCCCCCATTTTTCTTTTCCTGTTCCTCTTCATAGAATTCCAAGATACGTTTCCAAGCCTTGCTTAATGGGCAGTGGAGCAGTATCACATGCCTTCAGGCTACTTCCTAACTGTGGCTTTGTGGCTCAGATATGTTGTCCAAGTTTTCTTAGGGAGTGTGGCACTAAGTCAAGTTTTGCTGTCATCCATAAGTCAAGTCAGCTACCCCTTCACTACTTATCCAGGAATCACTCCATTGTCTGTTGTATGTGAACGTATTGTTTTTGTTGATGTACAGCTTTTTCTGGTGAACAGAAGCCAATCTAACTAGGCTGCAGTTTCCTGGCTCTGTTTCTCTGTCAAAATCCAGCACTATTTTGTGGGGGCCTTTCCCCCAGCTTTCTGAGTATACATCAGTTAAGGCTTCTAAGGCTTGCCCATCTAATTCCTTCAGGATCTACTGGAAAAAGTAATCAGGCCTAGCAAAATAATTTATATTGTTCAAATATGCTCCTTAGTTGAGTTGACCTGATCTATGTTGTCATTGAACCTCCAGTTTAATCTCAGTTTTAAAACAGATTTTTAAAATGTGGTATTTATGTGGGGTTTCCTGCAGAGTATAGAAATGTCCTTACTGGATGTTGATTTGTTTCTAGGTAAAAAGAAATGGAAGAAAACCTGTTGTCTCCCATCCTTTGTTATTTTTCTCTTCATTTTGAGTTGCGTAGTTGCTGGGATCACTCTTCTGGCCATTTTTAATGTGAAACCTGAGAACATGACTGTGAATGCGATCTTGATATCATTTGTATGTGTTGTGGGTTTGGCCTTCATCTTGAACTGTCGCACTTGGTGGCGAGTGATGGATTCAGTCTTGAATTCCCAGAGAAAACGGCTTCATAGTGCTGCTTCAAAGCTTCACAAACTAAAAAGTGAGGGGTTTATGAAAGTAAGTATAAGTGTGTTCTTATCGCAACAAAATACAACCACCATTTTGAGTTTAGTTGTGTTTATTCAAATTGGAACCACAGGAGCAAAGTAGCTTATTGTTCCTACAATTTTACTTTGGTTTACAGTAAAGTTATATAATTGATTCCTGCAGTGTTTAGCTGCAGTTGTCATTAGTGAATTAGTATGTAGCAACCATCCAAATTAGATAGAAGAGTGTGATACAATCTGTTTTAAATGTTTAAAAGCTGCATATGTCATTCAAACGAGGTCCCTGTTTTAAAAGTATTTCTGGCAATACACTAATGATACCATTTTCCAACTACTTTGATAGGTTCTTAAATGTGAAGTGGAGCTGATGGCAAAAATGGCAAAAACTATTGATAGCTTCACTCAGAATCAAACCAGGCTTGTGGTGATCATTGATGGACTGGATGCATGTGAACAGGACAAAGTTTTACAGATGCTTGACACTGTAAGTAATGTTTTTGGATTGTAAGTGTTTCATTGCTCTTCTGGTGGGCATAATAACATGTATTAGTAGGAAGATTTTGGCCCTGACCCTCCTCAAGTGAGTTGTGATTCAGTCCTGTTGAACCTATGGAACAAATATATCATGATGTTAAATCTTGCTGCTTTAAATCAGACTTGCAGTCCAATCCTGTACACGTTTACTGAAAAGTAAGCCCCACAAATAAATGGAGTTTGCTTCCAAGTAACGGTGTATGGGATTGCAGCATTATTTTAACAAAATTATATCTCGCCTTTCTGCCCTTTCAAGGGCTGCCAGTGCAACTATTAGACCATGAAAAAAACCCCTCTCCCACGCCTGCCTCATTAAAACAATTTTAAAAGAATTTAAGAAAAGCGTAAAACTTAAAACATATACAAAGCATAAAATGTTTGTTAGGAAGCAGTGATCATTGATGGATTGCCAATTGAAACAAAAAAGTCCAAAGTATGTGAGTGCGCTGCTCTTGGTGTGCTCTACTGCACACTTATAGCACATGATACCGTACAGTGCAAAACCCAAGGCAAGCTAACACCTCTGTGCCTCAGACAGCAGTGCAGATTTCAGCATTGCCGAGGCCACTGGCCCTCCTGCCTCTGTGCAGAGGTATGGCAGAATCCTGCTACCTGTGCCACACGGCACCCTTATCGCAGGCTTGGCCACCCATGGGATACAAGCAGAAACGTCCCAAAGGCATGGAGATTTTTTGTGCCCACTGTGGTCCCTAGTCTCCCAAAGAGATGGCACCAAAAGCCTGGGTGATGACCCCTGTGGAAGGCTGCTGTCCAGGTGATCAATAGTTGCTTGGAAAACAGAATTCTCACAAAACCGAGGGAGTTAGAATAGGAGGGGAGTCCTGCACCCCCCTCCCCAAACAGCCATGGAAACAATTACTCATACAATAACTTCTTTCCATTTTTCCCCTTTTTGCAGGTTCGAGTCTTATTTTCAAAGGGCCCATTTATTGCTATTTTTGCTAGTGATCCACACATTATTATAAAGGCAATTAATCAAAATCTGAACAGTGTGCTACGTGATTCAAATATAAATGGACACGATTACATGAGAAATATAGTCCATCTACCTGTTTTTCTTAACAGTCGTGGACTCAGCAGTGCTAAAAAGATGATGGTAGCTGCAACCACAAATGGAGATATTCCATACACAGATGGTTCAGGTATGGGTAGCAGGGTGATTAATAAGTCTTAATAAGTAGTTTATTTTATTCAACCATTTATGTTCTGCTTGTCTTTCCAATGAGAACCCAAAGCGACAGAAACAAGGAGGGAAGCTTCTGAGTGAAGAGCAAGGTCTTCCTCTCTTTTTCCATCCCAGATCTTCCCTCCAGCCATAGGCTGTGGCCCTCCTCATGTGCCTCTGAGCACTCAGTACCTGTGAGAAGCGGAAGAGACAAAGACTTCTAGTCAGGGATCAGGCTCTTCTCTGCTTCCTCCGCTGCCAGAGTTTTGTTGGGTATTGGGTGGACTAAGATTATACATCGTAGAGTATTTCATACATAATTTAATGTGGTTTTGTGTATGTGTGTAAATATTATAATTTATTAGTGGAAATTACCAAATGGTTTTTAATGTGAAAAATATTTTTTAGCATTCCATGAAGATGTTGATCGAAGGGTTTCACAGAATAGCCTGGGAGATGTGACTAAGCTTGGAAGCAAAACAGCTCTCAACAGAAGGGTAAGAAACGGAAATGGCAAGCTGGAAGTCTGTTTTCAGATACATCTTAACAAAGTTGTTTAAATCAGGTAGTTAACTGGAATCGTTAAACCTGGTTAAGACACAGTGAAATCCCCAAAGCAGAGTGTTTGTGTGGACTCAGCAGCACTGTTGAGTAGGTTATTAGATTGCCCTGGATTGCACCTGGTTATCAAAAGGGGTGTGGTGGGAGGTACTCCGCAGAGATCAATATCAAAAAGCAGTGTCTATGAACTTGGTTACACTGGCTGGTGTCTGCATGGGCTTGTGTGGTTTCCTTGTTGCTGGTGTGGCTGCTGATAAGAAGCGTAGCAGTGACAGGTTTTCCACATGGTGGATTTCCCTGCCGCGGTTCCCCAACAGCAGCCACCCCTCCTTTCCTAGGCTACCATGGCCTTTGCAATTAAAAAATAATAATAATAACTAGATTATATCCATATACCATTATAACCATTTGTGTAACTGTTCACCTTTCTCCCTGGGACCCAGGGCAGATTAAAAGTATGATAAACTTTTCAGTCAATCAGCAAGTGGTTGACGAGATACAATAATATTGAAGTCTAACAGCAAAGATTCCTACAATTGGGTGTACTATTGAACAGGGGGGCAAAAACTGAGCAACACATGCAAACGTAGCTATTTAATATGGTATCTGAACTGTGTGTGTACTGGCTTTCAGGTGATCCTTCCCAGATCAAGCTCTTTTTAAGCTGTGGTGTGCTTTACTCCTTTTGGCTTTGGTATGGTCATTTTAGGATATACTGCAGAAGGCTTGTGTTGCATTCAAGTGGCAGAATGACACTGTGAAAAGCAGGCTGCTTCAGCCCCACAATAAGACATTTTAATCCTTGTTAGTGTATTGTGCTTGGGAAGTAGTTTTTATAGATTTGTCCAGATAAACTTGTGTTCTTAAGAAGTAGATTATGCAGAAGTTTGATAGACTGACTTTTTCAATTATTGCTTCAAACACTGAAGTCTTTGAGACTGTAGGTGCATGCTTAGAACATCATGTCCATAGCACAAATTAGTTTTTTTATTTTCCAAGACTCACATATTGCTAACAGTATTCTTGGGACGGATGTATAATATAGAGAGGGGTGCGTTTTTTGTAGAAACTGCTTTTTTAAAATGGACTGCTGTGATTATTGTAATGTCTAAATATTTTTGTTCATATGGGACTCAAGCAACAGAACCTTTAGGTACATAAGTCTGTTCTTGATCATTTAAGTCTCTGCTTCTGAGTGGGCCAACAAAATAAATCATCACTTAAGAAATCATACATTTTAAAATGTCAGTCACTTATTAAAAGTTACGTCTGGTTTTTGTTCTTGTCCTTAGGATACCTACAGAAGACGACAGATGCAGCGTACTATTACACGTCAGATGTCTTTTGATTTGACCAAGCTGTTAGTTACAGAAGACTGGTTCAGTGATATCAGCCCACAGACCATGAGACGCTTGCTCAATATTGTTTCTGTGACAGGTGTGTATGTGCTCAAAAGTACACTGTTGGGCATTAAGATTGCCTTGAGCCTCCATGCTGTATGTAGTAAAACACCCATGCATTGTAGCCTACCAGGGGCTTTCGGATATTAAGAATGGTCTCAAAGGAAAAGAACCATTCTTCTACTGAGAATGCTACCTTGAGCCAAGAGGAAAGGCCAGGGTATAAATGTTCTAAAAAATAAGAACAGTTAAGGTTTTAAAACATAAGAAGGCTGATTTTGGTCAAAATGCCAGCCTGGGTTGAATTTCATGCATGCACACTAGCCATTTCTGAATCACAGCATAAAGCAATGATTTTTCTGTGTGAAATGACCATTATAGATAAATGCCCTTTTTGAAAAATACTGCCCGACTTAACCACATTTCAGTGGAAGGCTGTTCCCACACAGGCTTAGTTCAGATATCATGGTTTGCTTACAAATGATGATTTGCAGGCAAAGGAGTGTGCTGTGAGCCTCACGTGTAGGGTTGCCAAGTGTATCTTCGCTGGGAGTGGGGGGCTCCCGGCTGGCGTCTTGTGCGCGCGCCCTGCACGCACATCACCCGAAAGTGACGGGAGGATGCCAGGCACGCTGGGGGTGGGGCCACGGCCAAACAAGGGAAAACCATAGAGTTTTCCCTTGTATGGCCATGGCCCCGCCCCCAGCGTGCCCAGCGTGTTCACGTCATTTCCTGGTGATGTGCACGCCGGGTTGGGGTTCCCCCCGGGGCCCAATTCCGCGGCGGCGGAAATCGGGCCTCCAAAGCGGGGGTTTACCCGTCACCCGCCCCCACTTGGCAGCCCAACTCACGTGTATCCTTTTCCTATCACTGCTTCCTATTTTTCTTTCCCTCTACCATAGTTTGCTGAGACCTTTGCATGCTGGTAAGTAATGGAGAGTGTCTTGGGTTGTGGAGATGGTTGTCATGACAGATTATGATTGGAAAGAAGAAGGAAGTAGAAGAAAGAGCCAGCATGCTAGAGGGGGGAGAGAGAGTAGCTCACAATTGTTTGTTCCAGATCCTCCAAAGTTAGTCATAAGGGGGTTAGAGTGATGTGTGATGTCATGGTGAATAGTTGGAACTTTATAACTGGAGATGTGTCAGACTGCACGATATTGGAAAATAGGTGCTGATGAACTCCCTGTGGCATAAACGCTTCTTAGTCGCGTTAGTGGCTCATAAGGGAGTGAGCAGAACAGTACAGAATAATTAGAGGCTGTTAATTTTGTTTGAATAAACTGCTCCTTGTTCTGTCATAGGAAATAATTGGAGACGTACACAGTATGATTAAATAGATATTTCAAAATATTGCTATGGAATAAACAGTGTTCTTTTGAGTTGTGGCATCTTCCACTAAGATTAGATTAGCAGAGGTCATAATTGGGTTTAGATTTAATTTAAATCTTTTTATTGATAAACCCGGAAAAGCTTCTGAATGAATTTTGTATTGATAAGATTTGAGATGTGGGCAAATATTAAGTAGAGAAACTAAGTTAATTTCTGCTGTATGTGATATGAATAATAATTATTCTCTTACACGGACTTTCATATTTTCTAGGGCGTTTATTGAGAGCTAATCAGATCACTTTCAACTGGGACAGGCTGGCGAGTTGGATCAACTTGACAGAGCAATGGCCATACAGAACATCTTGGCTTATATTGTATTTGGAAGAAACTGAAAATGTTCCTGATCAGTTAACTTTAAAAACAATCTATGAAAGGTAGGCATGATTTGGTTTCTGGGAAATATTTACATCTTTTGTGAGATAGGATCTGACATTCCCCTGTTGACAATGTGTGGGAGCAATGCTGTGTTTTCTGGTAGGGTGTTCTGTCCCCCCCCCCCCTTGGATTACATTGTAACTAATTTTGACTGATAGGGGCAGGGTGGTTTCCAGGTGCCCACCCACCAACCTGTGTGCCTCTCACCTGCCTGAGCATTCTTCCTGGCTCACAGCCACCCTCACCTGCACCCCCCCAACCCTTCCCTGGTGGTGCTGGGCAGCAGGTGCACGGGTGGTAGCTCACAGGTGGGCAGGAGATTCACATACAGGCAGAGGTTGGGTTGCAGGGTGCCTTGCCAGAAGCCCTGCCCCCCTCCCAGCAGCTGGGACATAGTGATCCCAGTCCTGGATAGTGGTCTGCTAGTAATCGACGGCTTGTGCAGAAAGATGTGGATCTATGACTTGTTAATGGTGTTATATGTAATCAGTATCAATAAATTTAACAATTACTAAAGTGAACATAATCACCGTAATGTAATTTTGCAGGTTCTGTGATGTTATTTGAGTGGGTAAATTGGGAAAACCTTTTTATCTAGAAATTGGGAATAATAGATCAAACACCAAGAATATGTTTTCCCAGTCAGCGTGGTTCAGAGAAGACTTGTAACTTGGAGCTGAAGTAGTATGTAGGTGGCAACAAAGGAACCCTGTAATATGAAACCCAGACAGGCATTTTATAGTTTGAACTCACATCACCCAGTGTGAAAGGTGGGGCAGACTCCCTCAGATGAGCAGGTTTCTGTGGCGTAGTGGTTAAGAGTGTTGGAGTAGTATCTGGGAGACTCGGCTTCAGATGCCCACTTGTATCGTGGAAGGTTGCTGGTTGACCTTGGGCCAGTCACTCTCAGCCTAAACCTACCTCAACGGGGTTGTTGTGTGAGAATAAAATGGAGGAAAGGAGAATGATGTGAGCTGCCTTGGGGTTCCCATTGGGGAGAAAGGCAGGGTACAAATGAAGTAAAAAATTTAAAAATACTAATATTTGATATTTAAAAATACAAGTACTAATAACCTTCATGAAAGGAACTTAGCAATGCCATAGTTGTTTGTGATTGGAGATAACTGTGCTGAAGAGAGTTTTTTTTTTAAGTAACCACATACACACAATTAAAAAAAATCAATTTAAAGCAGGAATCTTTCCAGACAAGGTCAGAAGATGCTGTGGGGAAACTAAAACCTGATAAAGAATTAGACACTTATTTTCATGCTGAGATACTTTGAACTATAATAACAATGTATGATCTAGCACATCAGAGGGCTCATTTGGCACATGATAGTGGCAACCAGCGTTCCCTCTAAGCTGAGTTAGTGTGAGCTAGCTCACACTAACTCAGCTTAGAGGGAACATTGGTGGCAACCACTCTATACTGATAAAAGATAGTTTTTTAGGTCTGGGCTGGGAATTGCGATCAGGCAGGAGGTACAGATCCCAGTCCAGACTGTACCACAAGAGAAAAAAAAATCTGAGGATTCTCAGGTAGTGAATTTATTAAAAATGAACCTTACACAAATGGAGCTTTCAGTATTGCGTAAAGGTTTTTAATTTGTTCCAATGCCACCTCTGAACTCCTTTAAATTAATGACAGAAACCCAACACCTACTTAGGAAGATTAGACTAGCATATTATTTTAAGAGGGATAATGAGGCCAGTAATATAAAGATACTGAATGAATGCCTGAAGCCAAAGTCCGCGTTTAACCATCCCACAAAAAATCCAAGGAGTCTTGTATTTCAAGACCCGGTTCTGGAGGAAATAAGGAGACTTGAGTATGCAGACATACCAATCTGACATAATCTAAACAGACTGATAAACACTTTAGAACACCTTTGCCAACATAGTGATATTATTTTTAAACCAGCTGATAAAGGAGGTGCTGTAGTGGTGTGGGATAGAGAAGACTGTGCTAAAGAGGCCTATGGACAATTGGGTTTATTTATTTATTTTATTTGCTTTCAATTTGTATCCCACCTTACCGGTATGAACTGGCTCAAGGCACATAATGCAGCACATTATGTTAAGCGTGCTGAAAATCCATACAAGCGTGTTAAGATGGAGATTGCTGAACTCTTTGGAGGAGGGCCAAGTAGAAAACTATATTGACAAACCCACATACAATTTTCTCCTACAAATGGAAGATAGGATGCCCCAGATACATAAAGGTATGTTCCTAGGAAGACCTATAGACAGTTGTGGATCACTTTTGAAACTTTTAGCTTTCTGTGTGGATCTTTTTTTAAAAAAAACAAAACATTAGTTCCTAATATTAGATCCTACAAGTGGGGACCCGCAACAAAATGTTGTGTGCCGGCCACATGACCACGGAAACGTCTTCGGACAGCGCTGGCTCTTCGGCTTTGAAACGGAGATGAGCACCGCAACCCTAGAGTCGGATTCGACTGGCTTTCGAGCAAGGGAACCTTTACCTTTACCTATGGTATAGTTGGATACTGTTTAAATGGGTTTCTTGCAGTAATGGATTTGTTAGGTTTTTGGATTTTCTCATTTTGGCAGGGCGTCCTCCTATGTGAGGTACTTTTGACATTGTATTGTTCTGTATGGTACTGAATGGGAACTGTTGTTTCTGACAAAAAAAGGCAGATTCTTTCAATTGTTCTGAGCGGTGCCCTCTTAAGGGAGGAGATGGCTCTGTGACAGCCTTCTGTGAAGGGAAGGGAGTGACCGTTGGAGCCCACTTTTCCTTTTCCCCCTTTCTTTCTCCCTTTTTCTTTTTCTTTATTGAACCCTGAAAAGAGAGCTGTCTAGCCTTGCTCAGTTCCCTTGTCCATAGTCAGCCCCCTGACTGAAGTTGGCTTCAAAGAGGAGTTTGCCTGGGAATTACAATCACTTTGTTTATGTGAGGTGAGATTTCAAAGATTGCCTTACTGGGTACTGCAGGTCTTGAGGTGCTACAGGTGTCCTGTACCACTCTCCTTTTTTTTTCTGCTGAGTGTCCTTGCCAAAAACAGCTGGTGTAAATGGCCATTGGTTTATCAGTGGATCAGCGTGAGGCACCTTTGCTTGATCAGTCTCTCGCCTTGCCGTGGAGAAATGTGTGGTTGCAGGGCTCCAGTTTTCTGATGAGTCCACATTCACCCACCCTTTGGCAGTTTATTTGTCTGTCAGGGTTGCTATGGAACTTTTTAAAAGATGGTGTGTACAAACTGACACTGGTTGGAGGAAATCCCGCCTTCTCTCCACCTGCCCCTACCTCTCAGTCACTGTGCCCACTCATCAATTAATGATGCCTCAGCTGTCCTTTTATAACTTTCCTCTGGCTTCTAGTCAGTCAGAAGAGAGACGCAGTGGGAAGAAGCAGTGGCCAAGCTAGTGGGGGAGGACAAGCAGTTAGAAGCCAGAGAGAATGGTTTTAAAGGACAGCAGAGCCCGCAGTTACAGAGATTGGGGGTGAGAATGATCCTTCTTTCCCACTTGCAAGGCTTCGCAGTTGCAGGCTCAGATGTCCTTTTAATACTTCACCCTGCTATTTAGCCATTCATACTGCAGGAAAACGGCATTGGAGATGGGCAAGTGGCAGTGAAGAATCCTCCCTAATCCCAGCTCCAGTTCTGCTGTTGCTTCCCCCCTCCTTTGCCTATTATCTCTGTCTGTCTGTCTGTCTCACTCTCAGCCAGTCAATCTTTCTCAAGCTGATGGAGGGGGAAAAGCAGTTAGAAGCCTCCCCCAAGAAATGTTTAAGAGGACAGTGGAGCCTGCAGCAAAAGAGGTAGGGGTGAGAAGCTCAGATGTCCTTTTAAAGCCATTCATACTGCAGGAGGAATACTTCCCAATCTCAGCTCCAGTTCTTCCCCCACTCATTATCTCTCTCCGTCTCTCTCTCTCTCTGGCTATCAGCCAGTCTGTCTCTCACTGTTGATGCAGTGGGGCCTGGAATAGATTCCTGTGGTGGCCATTTGAAAAGATATGGGGGGTGGGATTAAATCTTCCCTGGGGTTTTTCAAAAAACTTTCGGATTTTTGTGCAGACTCATGGAGTCCCCTGAGTCTGTAGAAGAGCCTGTTGGTGGAGAGTGCACCCTCTGTGGAAGTAAGTATCCACACATACATGGGACTGCAGAGAGTTCTACCAGGTTGGAGCCAGGGCAGAAAATGCCCTGGCTCTGGTTGAGGGCAGTTGGATACCTCTTGGGCCCGGGGGCCACCAATAGATTCTGGTCTACTGAGTGCAGTGCTTAGTCTTCCGCATGATACATTCGGCATTCTAGGTTGGCATTGCTCTCAGTATAACCGTCTTCAGGTAACAGTTCAGGGAGTAACTGTCCTCATTCTACCAGCAGGTGGCACTAACAAACCAATGATCAAGGTCTATTAGGCAGTGCTGCAACTTGTAAACAGGAATGTAAATGTGTGTATATTTCACTATTTGATCTAACTTTTTAAAGCACTGAAGTAGGCCACAAACACTTTGTGGCTTACAAGTGAGAAAAAAAAAAGCTGTTGTTGGTGGAAGACTGCTTGTGCACCACTCCTAGGTTCAATGCAGACAGAATGCTGGTTCCCAGTAAATTCTGCTTTTAGAAATCTGGAAACCCGTGCACTCTCCCTGCTTTCCAGAGTAATCCTCTTGCCCATGGTGTTAATGATGACTTCTCATGAGGTGGCACTGTCATTAGCAGTGGTTGATACTGATCAGGTTTCTTTGTAACCATGGTTTGCAGATAGGTTTCAAACTATGGTTTCAGTTACTGGTTTACAAGAGAAACCATTGTGTGCTTATTGGGTTCAGACAGCAACAGCTGTGTTCTCAGTGTCTGCTATCCGTTACAGCACTTTCTTCTTTTACTGGAGGTTCACTGGAGTCAAGCCATTGAACCTTTCAGAATCACTGGAAGACCAGCCTGTTTTCAGTTAGATTTGGGGGGTGGAGGGGCAGAGAGCTTTTGTGACGGGATTTTATTCTGTTTCATGGGGTGTTTTTC